TATTCAGCAACGAAAAATCTCGATTTTTCCGGCTCTTAAAAATTATATTTTTGCCGTAATAACATTTTATTGTTACACATTTTTTAGTGAGTTACTATAACGTATTGCCGCGTTAAAATTTAACGGTTACGGTTCTGGTTGGTCTGCGTTAACAATAGGAACGTCACGCTAACGTTAAATTAGCCAAGCATCAAAACACGACTGTCCTCTTTTATATTTTCCAACTGTCCCTACACAAAAGGACAAGCTTTCGTCAGTTTCACCGCACTCTTTATTATAATAATACATTATAGTAGTACGTACAGAGTGTCCCAAAAAAATGTAAGAAATATTTTATTAGGACACTTTGTATATCTTGTACACAGTGTTAATGATACACATTTTAAAAGTACACTCCGTATATTCTATCGATAAACTCTTAACGAAACTTTTAGAGTAAATCTCGGTATATGCGAAAAACAATTTTCCACAGTTTTTCCGGCCCCGTTCCCGTTTCGAAAGCGATTTGTTCCCGGATAACTGGTTGTCGACTTATTGTTACGAGATCGTCCGATCTCTATCCGTAAAAATAAATTTGACGTGTTTCCCCCGACCCGGAAAAGCCTTTCATTCGAATTTTCCGATGCGCGCGTCGCCCGTAAAGGGGATCCGCGACATGTCGTTGTAATTTGTCGTTTTAGCGGGACTTTTCCTCCCCCCTTTATCGCGTATTAACCCTCCTCGGGCTGGCTATTGTACGGAAAACTAGAGGAAAATCGCCGGAAGCTTCGGAAAAGCCGGTGTAGCTAGATGTAATGAAGCTGTTTCTATACTCTAATGTCGTGTAGAACGAAAATTATATACAGGGTGTCCCTAAATATCTTAAAGAAGATGCGCTAAGGTTGGGAATAATTATTGTGCGGAAAACTCGCTGGGAGCTTTGGAAAAGCCGCTATAACGAGATGAAGTAAAGCTTAGATGTCGTAGAATACAATATTACAGGGTGTCCGTAATAATCGTTGACGAATAGAGCTTTTTTAGTCGTTAAAGTGGATATTTTTACATGTAAATTTCTGGTTAAAAATGCTAGAAAACCTTCCTTATAAACATGATATTTTAGGTCCTCCCTGTATATAATAAGTGTGCAATTAGGTAGGTATTGTAGAGGAAGACGGTAATGAGATACAGTCGATTTCTAAAAGCGCGTTTTAAAGTTAAAAAGGCGAGTCGTATAACTTTTGATTAGGGAAGTTCCAGTTTCGGCTAATTGAATTTTCCGTTTTCCCGGGCGTCTTGTAGCTGTTATTGTGAGACTCGATTAGAAAATCCGGCGAGGAGATTTGTTGACGTTTCTCGTATTAATTAAGCGACGATTTTGATAATAATTTTGTAATCGCCGACGTTCCGATGACAACAGACAAAAAACTTTTCCTTTTCGGATTTCCCTTCGGTAATTTACGAATGGAAAATATTGTTTGAAAGAGCGCGAGGAGACTATCAAGACGGAGCTTTTGTATTGAAATTCTCATTTTTGGTTATTTCTTTATACAGGGTAATAGGAGACTCACTGAGGTTTGTCCAGCCTCTATACAGGGTGTCTCATTAGTTGATACTTTTTTTAAATGCGTATAGATCTGTTCTAAGCAATGCTAAACAACTTTTTCAAGTCAATTTTTTTAAATATTTAGGAAAATAAAAAGATGGAAATTTTTAAAATTTCTTTAAATTTCGAATATTTTCCAATACGTCAAATTTTGCAGGTGTCAAAAAAGTAATAAATAATTCAATACAAAAAATTAATTTTTTCGATTGATTGAATTAAAAATGGCCCATCTTTATACAAATAATGAATTTTGACAATGACAAATAATGACAATTTTGAACAGTTCCTTTAGCTTTTAATGAACAGGGCCGTATTAAATAACTTAATAATTAAAAATTGAAAAAAAATTCTCCCTTATTTTCTAGAATATTAAAAAAATGTACTTGAAAAAGTTGCCTAGAGTTAAAACTATACACAGTTAAAAAAGGATCAAATTATGGGACACCCTGTATATGTGTAGAGGTGGCAGCGGTGACTTAATAACCTGTAATGTAATTTGCAAGTGTTCGATTGTTGTTAATTGCAGCGTACTCGACACGATGTGTAAACATTACCACTTTATACAGCGTTCCCGGTCGTAATACAATTTCCGATTGTCCGCAGGACAATGCAGGAGCGCGTTCGCTACGAAGATAAAACAAGTTTTTTTTATTTTTTCGACCGGGTGGAAAACCATCGAAAATTCTCGGTAATTTGGAAATCGATCCCGGCCCGAATTTATTTCCGGTTTGGAAATTGGATGTTCGATACCTCGCGACCGTCCTGCGTCCGCAGGAAACGAGCCGCTCGGCGCCCGGGCGTTCCGGAAAATTGAATTTTCCATTATTTAACGAGTGGCGTTTTTAAACTTTCCACTAAACATTTTTCCGTCGCTTCATTAAAAGTCATCAGATGGGGTTTTGCAGGCGCAAACACGTTTTCCTGCAACGCGACTGCACTATACATGCATCCTCGGGAGGATACAACTCCAAACTCTTTATGTATATTATATGAAGGTGTTATTGTTCTTGATGGGGCGATTTTATAACATTTCCAACGACCCTCGTACGTGTATATTATACATACAGAGTGTCCCAACAATGTCTGAAAATTTAATAAGAATTTTAACATTAAAACGAACGTTCAATTAGTGTTCACTACAATTATTGTATAAACCCTGTATAAAATATATCGGATATGTGGATTATTTAGGGACACCCCGTACATATATGAAGGGACGTCAACGTGTCGTCGGGTTTTCCGCGCGCTTTTCCTGAATAACGAACATTTTCTTTTTTCCACGTCACGTTCTCTCGGCCTGTTTCGCCTTGTTTGTTCGATTTTCACCCTGTCCGATTTCATGACAAGGGGAGTCACCTGCGTATACCGTGGGACGGGCGACTTTTCCCGGTGAAAACGAGACTATCTAATCTCCCGTTATTAAAAATTTTCCACCCGGAAAATTCCTGCTTTTTTCCCGATGCGAAATTATCGCGAATAAACGAAATAGTTTTGTGGTAATTGGAAAATTACTAGTTATAGATTGCCTAGCTAATATTGTTTTTTTTTGTAATAAAGCGAATTGTTTCCGGAAGGAAATCAAATAGAAGATGGGTTATATAAAATCGATTCCTTTTCGCAGGAATCCCGCAGGAATCGCGTCGAATTTCATGAAAAGAACAAACAATATCCTAAAATAACATTGCTTGCGTTTTTAACTTTGTTCTTTTGGCGGGCGCGGGCGGCTTGAATGGAAACCGGCCTCTGCAGTTTTTCCTTTCTCTCGCCGAAGAAAATGTTTACTCGACTTTTCTCTCGCGCGGAAAATTCAAAGTGGTTTTTCTTTCCGCCGGAAAAACACGCATTTTTCTAAGCAGATAAACCCTCCCCGGTAATTCTTGCGCTTATCTCGCCGCATTTTCACCAGCGATTCCACCAATTTTTTCCTTCCTTAAACAACACTTATATGAATAATAATTGGTAATGTAAAATTAATCTATCGCACGGTGTTTTGGTTGGATTCTCCAGCACATTGGCCCGTTTCCAAAACTTCTTATTACATCATCCATATATGATCTAATTTCAATTTTTACGATCTCGAATTACTTCGCCCGGAGTATATATAATAAGTAGCCCGGAATCGGTGCCAAGAAAATTCCATTTTTAACCTCTCTCTTGAGGTCTTTCCCATTCATTTCCGCCAAAATACATCATCCTTCCAATAACAATCAACATATAGTACGTTCATTTTAATGCGGTGTTGACGTCATACCCATTTAAAATTGTTTGTAGTATCTAATTTGATATTTCATCTAGTGTGCGTTGGTAAATTAATTCCATTTTAACCACAATCTCGAGCTTTTGCCGTTCATTTTCGCGAAAATACATCTTTCGAATAAAAATCAACATATAGTACGTTCATTTTAACGCGGTGTTGACGTCACACCTATTTAAAATTGTTTGTAGTATAGAATTTGATATTTCATCTAGTGTGCGTTGGTATAATAATTCCATTTTAACCACAATTTCGAGCTTTTGCCGTTCATTTTCGCGAAAATACATCTTTCGAATAACAATCAACATATAGTACGTTCATTCTAACCCTGTATTGACGTCATACCCATTTTAAATTGTTTGTAGTATCGAATTTGATATTTCATTTAGTGTGCGTTGGTAAATTAATTCCATTTTAACCACAATCTCGAGCTTTTGCCATTCATTTTCGCGAAAATACATCTTTCGAATAACAATCAACATATAGTACGTTCATTCTAACCCTGTGTTGACGTCATACACATTTAAAATTGTTTGTAGTATCGAATTTGATATTTCATCTAGTGTGCGTTGGTACATTAATTCCATTTTAACCACAATCTCGAGCTTTTGCCATTCATTTTCGCGAAAATACATCTTTCGAATAAAAATCAACATATAGTACGTTCATTCTAACGGGGTGCTGACGTCACGCCCGGGCTAAAATTGTTTGTAGTATCGAATTTGATATCTAGTGTGCGTTGGTATATAATATACGGATCAAGCCGTATACACGTGTGTACATAACTAGGTCCCTTTGATCACAAGGGTTGTCTTGCGGACAGAATTACAACGGAATTAGCCGAAATCCCATAATGGAATTATGTATATAGTACAGTAATTAGGTAAGGTCGACGTACTCCCTTGAATTTACGTCGATATTAACCTCAGGTCCAAAGCTTTCGCTAAAGCTTTACCTATATAAAGGTAAAGCTGCAAGAGATGTATTTTGGTTCGACTATACCTAAATGTTAAATGGGTTAAATCTTCGAAATATATCTGGATTAGTTTTTAAACGCAAACTTACAAAAACAAGCTCGATTACTTTTCTTACGTTGGTACCTACTCAAAAAAAAAATAATTCCCCGTAAATTGTATGCGAATTTTTTTTCTAATTTTCCCACAGTCGAATGGCCTCGAGAGCGTTCTAACAGGACGATATAACTCGGGGGGAAGTTCGAGTTAAAAACCGCCCTACAGGACTTTGTAACCCTTGGAAAAGGGTACAAGCGGTTAGGTGGAAACTTCCCGCAGGAAAATCTCGCAGGAAAGGGACATTCGGTCGTCGGGCCGATGCGGTCGCGATGAAAACCTAACGGGGCTGCAGGCGTTAGGGGGGGAATGTGCTTAAGGGACAGGTACGGAATTAAATAGATAAATAAATAAATAAATGCGGGCGATTTTTGTAAATTCCGCGTAATTTGCATCGGAAACGAATCGAAAATTACGTTAATTTCGCTCGTTTCCGATACTACGTTATTGGAATTTTAAATTCGCATTGTACGAGGTGGACCAGTAACGAGCTTGGAACTGATGGAACTGATACTGGGTGTCTCATAAGTTGATATTTTTTTGAGAGAGTATGTTGTTTTTTTAATTTTTAATTATTAAAAAGTTATTTAATACGGCCCTGTTCATTAAAAGTTAAAGGAACTGCTCAAAATTGTCGACATTTTGATTGGAAACGCTTTGGAAATACTTTCCATAAATAATCAACATGTCCATCAATTCATTATTTGTATAAAGATGAGCCATTTTCAATTCAACAATAGAAAAATTAATTTTTTGTCATTAATTATTCATTATTTTTTTGACACCTGTATGGTAATGACAGGTACTTGTTGGAAAATATTCGAAATTTAAAGAAATTTTAAAAATTTCCTTCTTTTTTATGTTCCAGAATATTAAAAAAAATACTTGAAAAAGTTGCTTAGAATTAAAAGATCTATACGCAGTTAAAAAAAAGTATCAACTTATGAGACACCCTGTATAAACATCCTCTCTCACATCATTTTTATAAATACCTACCGTCAAATGTCAAGTGTCAGTTCGGAATTGCCAAATGCCAATTTCCAATAGCCAAATGTCTCGTTTCAATAGCCAAATATCCTTATAAATGGTCAAAATAATTACGATTGAAAGTCGTCTACACTCAAAGAACCTTGCCAAAGATAGACAAATGGTAATTTCTAACTATCAAATGTCACATACTTGTAACCAAAAGTCAATTTCCAATTGTAAATGCCACATTTCAAAAGCCAAATGTTCAAATAAATGGTCAAAATAATTACAATTTTAAGTCTTCTACACTGAAAAAACCAAATATAGCCAAGTGTCAATTTTTAATTGTCAAATAACACATTTCAAAAGCCACATGTCCTGATGAGAATCGTAAATTTTAAGTAGGTATAATCGATTTCACTCCACTCCACTCCACTTCAATAGCCAAATGTCAATTTCCGACTGCCAAATGTCACATATTTATATCCAAAAATGACAATTTCCAATTGCCAAATATACCATTTCAAGACATAAGAGATCGATAGCAATAACCTTCGAAACCAATCTTATACTAAACGTTACACTACACCAGCCAAATGTCACGTACATAAACGTTGAAAGAAGAAACTAGGCAAACAAAGGTTCGAAGCTCGAACGCCCCCTATCGTACAATACGAATTTCCAGCAAGGCATCGTCGAGCGTGAAACGGTACGGGGCGCCGTCGCCCCGCCATGTGGCGTCGCCGCCAACGATGACCCGACCGATCGGCATGGCGCTGTTCGGCATGGTGTGGCTGTTGCGCGTGCGCAGCGAGATGAAGCGGTGCGCCAAGTGTCGCCGGGAGTGCGACAAGGACGGACGCCGACGCCTGCAGAGGACGCCGGCGTCCTGTTCGACGTTCTTCACCATCGACGTGTCGAACGACGGCGACGGCGACGCCGCGACGACCATCGACAGGTCCATCGGGCCCGGTACTTATTGCGAAGTGCACGGGTTCAATCCGCCTAAAGACGGTAAGTGGTGCGCTATATGGCTTGTTGTTTTTTTTTTTTCGCCAAATGGTTAACATTTGGCGAGCCAGCAATGTAATAAGTAAGATCAAAAATATGGGAACTTTGTACTCTATTTTTTGTAATAAGTGAGTTCTATTATTGCGCTATATGGCTAATTGCCTTGCCAAATGGGTATTTAGATCATTTGGCGAGGAGGAAATATTTGGGATCAATAATGAGGGAGTTTCGTACTCAATTTTTTTGTAAAAAGTAAGTTCTATTTTTGTGCTATATGGCTAATTGTCTTGCCAAATGGATAGTAGTTAGCAGTTGATCATTTGGCGAGGAGGAATTATTTTGGATCAATAATAAGGGAGTTTCGTACTGTATTTTTTGTAAGAAGTGAGTTATATTATTGTGCTATATGGCTAATTGTCTTGCCAAATGGCTAATATTTAGCCGTTGATCATTTGGCGAGCAGCAAATATTTGACATCCATAATAAGGGAACTTCGCAATTTATGTTTTTGTATGAATAGTCTTCTACTATTGCATGTACCTACAAATATTTCGCCAAATGGCTAGTATTTAGCGAGTTATCATTTGGCTCAATAATAAGAAAATTTCCATTTACTTCCAGTATCTATCTACATAGTATTTTCATCTACAAAAATTCTCCAATCGCTTTACCTCTCGCCAAATGTCTAGGCAATCATTTGGCGAGTTGAATTTTTGTTTGGCTCCAATAAAACCACGTATTTTCATCGGAATGATATATATTCCAATGAACTCCTTTCCGCGTTCGACGCGCTTTCCATCTGTCGAACTTTTCCTCTCCGATTTTCCTCGGAAAGCGGAGGAAGAAGTGAAAGAAAAAACTTTCCACATACTCGTACAAACATTAAACTCCGCGCGCCGGAAGTAAACTGGAAACTTCCGAAAGTTCCGCGGAAAACTCTCGATGGAAATCGATGGGTGTGTATACCGGGAAAATCGGCTTTTACCGTCGCCGCGATATCGGTGAAGGCGCCCGAAGGAAAATTGCGTTTTTTTTTTTCGCTCGATTGTTAAACGTTAAATGTTTGAAAATCCTGGCGGATTGGAGAGAACGAAGAAGAAGGACACGTTCGAATCGTTTACAGTTTATTTTTACAAGCGTTTTGGAAAAATGGCGGATTCATTTCGCGATTATCTTCATTTTTATACGGCTTATCGAGACTTTCGAAACGTGTAGAATTGCTGTTAAAACGCAACTGTTACCTTTTATATCATACAGTAATAAATTGAATGGGAAAATGTATATACAGTGAACCAAATAATTTTGAAAAATCTCACCTATAACTGTTGAATTTTTTAGTTTTGAATGGTTTTAGATAGTTCCAAATGATTCTGGGGCATTCTAAATGGTTCTGGAGCGTTCTAAATTGTTTTAGACATCTCTACATTATTCTATAATGATTCACTAAAGTAGTTGAAAAATTCCAAAATAGTTTTCTACAAGGGTAAGGTGGAAAGTTCGAAAATCGAAGTTCAATTGATGACACTTCTAATTGATTCTGCAGGGTTCTAAATGGTTTTAGACGGTTCTAAATGATTCTAGGCAGTTCTACATGATTCTTAGGCAATTCTAAATGATTCTGAAGCGTTCTAAGTGATGCATAGACAGTTCTAGATGATTCTAGACAGTTCTAAATGATTCTAGGCAGTTCTACATGATTCTTATGCAATTCTAAATGATTCTGAAGAGTTCTAAGTGATGCATAGACAGTTCTAGATGATTCTAGACAGTTCTAAATGATTCTAGGAAGTTCTACATGATTCTTATGCAATTCTAAATGATTCTGAAGCGTTCTAAGTGATGCATAGACAGTTCTAGATGATTCTAGACAGTTCTAAATGATTCTAGGCAGTTCTACATGATTCTTATGCAATTCTAAATGATTCTGGATCGTTCTAAATGATTTCTAATATTCTAATAAGTAATATAGTCTGATAGTCGGCATTGTATCACATTTTTAGTGATAACATTGTTCGAATAATATTTACTTTACAACATTAGCGGAATTAGATTTTTAATATTGAATAAAAAATCGCTAAATAAAGCTCGAATTAAACGGCGAAATGGCTACGAAGAATTCGAATCAGGGCCGGCTAATTGGGCTTCTTTTATCAAATTGAACGGTCTTACGCGAGCCGTGTAATTGGATCCCGTTTCAGCGTGTATACACTGACTATTGCACATCCTGCTCGTCCTTTTTGCATTTAATTAAAATCTCGCCCGGACCGGTCGCAATCACGGCCGCCTACACGCGGCGAGACAATTTCAATTTCCACTTTTGTTTCGATTTTTTCCAAAGCGAATTTTTATTATACCCCGTTCGCTATCAGGAGATTGTAATTTCGTGAATCGTAAATGGATTTGTTTTACTTTAGTTGTGCCACTCTATAGGATTTTTGAATAGGCGGAATCATCTAAGTTATTTGTTGATTTTTCTGCTTCTTTAAACTCCTGATAGTGAACGGAGTATAATTATGTGTCGATAATGTGAGTTCAAATGAGTTATTTGTTGGATTTAGTGCTGCAAAAAGGTTTTATTAGTATCTCTTGATGTCGAACGGAGTATAACACGTTTCTAGTTATCTTAAATGGTCGATAATGTGAGTTCAAATGAGTTTATTTGTTAAATTTGCTGCTTCAAAAAGGTTTTTATACTGTCTCTTGATTGTGAACGGAGTATAACACATTTTTAGTGATCTTAAATAATCGATAAAGCTAGTTTAAATGAGTTATTTATTGAATTTACTGTTTCTTCAAGGTTTGAATTCTATCTCTTGAGAGCGAACGGAGTATAATTGCAACTTGCGAAACTCTAATTCCACACTTAGAGGAGTTTCCTGTTGCTATTAATCCGGCGAACAAGAAATTCTCAATTACGCCCCGAGTCCGGTGGAAGCGATTAAACTTCGGCAAAATATACAAGGTGTCCGGTAAACTTCGGAAATTCGGTGGGTTCTCGCTAGAAATATATACACGAAAAAATAAAAAGGATTTATTTATTTTTTCGAATCCGGTTCGCCTCGAAGAGCGGAAAAACAAATTAATTTTCCACGCACCCGCCCCCCGCTCGGGGCCGAGCGTCTTTCGAGGCAACTTTTAATTGATTAACGAGAGTCCCCGAAGAGAGACAGAGAGAGAAAAAAAAGAGTATCCGTTTTATACATCTCTAATTGTTCCAAGTAAGTTCGGAATACAGAAAAAACTTTATTAATGAATTTGCAAAGGGAATTTTCCCGTCTAAATGTACAACTTTTTACCAAGGAAAAAGCTAATCTTGACGGACGAGCTTCGCAAATTCCATCAGGCTAAATAAACACCATAGGATTGCTCATCTCGTGCAAATGACGTCACGACCTCGACATTTTTAAAATCCATAGCTTACTGCGATAATTACGAGTCAATGAGAACTGTTTAGAACTCTTTAGAACGCTTCAGAATCATTTAGAACTGTCTAGAACCATTTAGAATGCTCTAAAATGAATTATTTAGAACTGTTTAGAACTCTTTAGAACGCTTCAGAATCATTTAGAACTGTCTAGAACCATTTAGAACGCTCTAGAATCGTTTAGAACGCTCCAGATTCATTTAGAACTATCTAGAACCATTTAGAACGCGCTGTGACCATTTAAAACGCTCCAAAAACATTTATAGAAATGCCTATAGAACCAATTAGGACGCTCCAGAATCGTTTAGAACTGTCTCGAACTGAACATTTCGACTTAGCAAGAAGAAAAATGTAATTTTTCAACTGAAAATCGCTGTCTTTCATTGTCGGAGCCGGGAACATTTCACCTTACCCTCGTAATTACTCGTTAACGAGGCGCAAGTGGGCCGCGTACAAAGAGCAATTAGACGTTCTCCTTTGCCCGGAAGAAAATAATAAAAAAAAAATTCAACTTTTTCATTGAAATTTCCAATCAACTCGTCGACGTCAAAGCGTCTTTGTTACCTGACCCTTATTGTGTACTCCAGGAGTACATTACTCGTCGATATCGACGCCGTACAATGGCGAAAGAAGGGATTCTGCGAATCTTTCCTCCTGCAACGCGACTTCCTCTCCTCTCCTCTTTTTTTTTTGGTTGTTTTTCGCCGAGTCTTTTCCGAGCGATTGCAGGAAAACTTCTGCCAATTATAGCCCGGGCGGTATTCCCGCTTTGACTGACAACGGGAGCAGGAAAAACAATAATTATTATCCCGACGAGGCGATTCGAGTACGTGGAAGGGCGTTAATTGGGGCGCAGGAGTTGGATCGTAAATCAGGTAATCAAATAAACCTACCCTTAATTATTCAGAAGCTCCGGAAACTTCTGATTCGACCGATTCCGGTCGGAGTAGTTTCTTCGAAGGGACGAGAAAGAAAAAACTAACTTCGAGGGAAGTTCGCACGGAGTTTATACGGGGTGTATCAAAAATGTTGATTGTATACATGAATCACCCCCTCGTGAAGTTTGTCGCACTTATTAATTAACACCCTGTATAATAATAATAGCGCTCGATAACAATTTAGAATGTAACCGACCCTATAAAGGGAACATTTTTTCTATTGTCCTTTTGGAAACGTACTAAAGCCATTAATCCACTTAGATGTACTCGAATTCGGTGCCGGGCCGGTCGTAAACGACGATAATAGTCGCGGGAAAATTAATCTCCCGGGCGAATTTCGGGTAAAGAAAACGAAAGCTTGTTAACAACGCCGGTTATTATTACTTTCTCTAATATTAGCTTCGAATCCCCCGCGGACGAGCGCATATAAAACCCGCTCGTTAAGCGCCACTACTTTTACGATCCCCTCGTATATATTTTTTTTCTTACAATTTTAATACCTGCGGTTTTTTACACGACTCTAATGAGTCTCGAAATTATTCCAAGCTATTAAAATAACAGTTGTTAGTGTGGAAAAAGTTACATTACAACAATATTGCTTAACATCATGACTCTCTACAATCGTTTAGATTGCTTCAAGATGAATCAGAATTGTCGAGAACCATTTAAGAACAGTCTAGAATGATTTTGAATT